TATATATATATATATATATATATATATATATATAGACCAAGGTTTTTACAGAGAACATCTTGAAAAATATGAAGAACAAAATACAGATTTCCATTTATTAATGACACTTCTGCATTCATCTTATTTGGAGGAACTAGAACCACAAACACTGTTGTCTGCCATTGTAAAATAATATTCCCTGACGCTCCTCCCCAATGCGTAAGATGCGTCAAAAGTGGACCAACAACAAGCAAGCATTCAAGATGGACGTTTTCCAGAACAAATTGGAACATTTTTCATCGGTGCTGTCAAAATCATCATAGTCATTGATTAAATTCTGACACTATCCGTTCACAAAAACATAAAACATCCTTCGGGGCCCCTGAAATGCCGGGGCCCCGGGCTGCAGCCCCTGTAAGCCCCTGCTAAAATCCGGCCCAGCAGAGGACGATTACTTATCAATAAATCTGCTGATCAGTTAATTAATCAGTCAGGAACTTCAAAACCTTTATTATCCACTAATATGGAAATTCACCTTTGGTTTCACCAGAACATGAAAAACACGGCATAATAGTGACAACGCTCAACAACCATCAATCAAAGAAGAATAAATGGATCCATCAATTAAATCAATCAGCAACCAGCATCCTGGTCTCAGGTGTCCACCCCGCTGTTATTTATCACCTTCACAATGGGAATAAAGTGTATTTGGACTTATTTCTGTTTGGTTCTGGTAAAAAGGCCTGAATTCACTTTGCAGGAGGTGAAAGGGACCGCTAATAACTGTATTAGCTTTACTACACAACCCTTGTACATGTTGTGATTTCTGTTATTTTAAGGACATGTTCAAACTTTATAGTTTCTCTGGATGTTCAGATTACTATATCATGTTATTATGTTATAAAATATTCCAGAATATTATGACTCGAACCAAAATTAAGCTTACATAGCAAATCAAGACCTTAAAAATACAATCAGTGCTTTCCTTAAAGCATTCTGTGGACATATGCGCCAAGGTATTTCAATTAATTTACTATTTCCACAGTCCTTTAATCATTGCAGGTTTTAATAAACTTTTTTTTTGAACATGTTGTTTTCTGTTAAAAAAAAAAAATGATCCAGTCCTTGTAGAGGACAAGTTGCTTTATCAGATGTTCATTTGTGACTCAAATGAACATCTGAGATTTATAAATCCCTGCATTCTGTTTTTATTTACATTTTAAAGAAAGTTCCAACTTTTTCAGAACTGGTGTAATAATACTGGGATGTTACTGTAGTATTCTGGTGTTGCTGTGGTACTGCAGTAGTACTTGAGTGGTGGGACTGTGGTCCAGTGTACAGTGGGTGTCCTGTGCTGATGGTTCGGCTCGTGTGTTCGGGTTCTGGTTACCATGCCGACGCAGAACACGGTGAAGAGCAGGAACCAGGGCAGGTCCGTGCAGCTCCGGTCCTCCAGCGGTCTCCATTCTCTCTTTGTCCTCTGAAACACAAACACGGTCACAGTGAGCCTGCAGAACCGGACCGAACCGGGCAGAACTGGCCTTATCGTCCCCCTTTCCGTCACCAGCACCACCACCCAGGCCTGTCAGCCCGGCCCGGTTCTATCTGCGATCCGAACCTCCGGCTCCGGTTGGGCCTGTTGTTTACCGACGGTCGGGTTCGGTAACCGATGCAGGATAATTGGATAATCTGACGGGTTTAATCCGAGCTCGGCCCACCTCGGTTTCCCTTTCACGTTTAAAAATCAGACACTCTGGAGACCTGCTGAAGGACACCCGGGTGCAGAACGGCACCGAGTCGGACCGTACCGGGCCAGGCTTACCTCCGCGCTACCGCAGCATCCCATTGCAGTCAGGGTGGACGCGCCCGGAGCCTCACGGAGCTTCACGGAGCCTCTACTCAGTGGCAGCGGGAGTCTTGGAGCTCGACAGGCGGACTGAGGACACGGGCAGCCCCGTGTGGTCCCGGAGGCCGAGTCCTGACGGTCAGACTGAGCGCTCCGACCCGCTCCTCCGGGTTACTGAACCGAACCGGGATTAACGGCCGAGGATTTGTCCGCCACACTTCCCGGTGGGCCGTCAGGTACAGCGGCCATTCATCTCATTACGCATGCGCACATAACGGTAAAGCTTATTGGAGCAGAACAACAGACAGAGCATCACCTGCAGTACCCGTTCTGACCACTGCGTTGAAATTAAAGGAGAGTGGCGCTGTTTCCCCTGACCTCCATTGAAACTTTTACTGAAGCCGCAGATGCAGTACCACCACTGACCACCGAGTGGAGTTTAACAGAGAGTGGCGCTGTTTCCCATAAACCTACAGGAAATACAGTACACCGGTTTTACTGTTAAATTGTTGAAAAACTTCATCATACATTAAATGTTTGACGACTTTAAAACCTGAAAACAAAAAAAAATCGCATAAGCAAAATTTGTTATTTTGTTTTCCTTCACTCATTCTTTTGGCTTTTCCCTCTTCAGGGGTTGCAACAGTCCTCTATCTCACTCTGTCCTCTGAATCCTCTGTCCTCACTCCAACTCCTCCATGTCCTCTCTAACTACATCCATATATCTCTTCTTTGTTTTTTGCTGGCAGTTGCATTTATAACACCCTTTTACCAATATACCCATTTTCCCTCCTCTTGACATGTCCAAACCATCTCAGTTTTGGTGTCTAACTTTATCTCCCAGTTGTTCGAAGTGTGTTGTACCTCTGATGATCTCATTCCTAATCTTATCTATCCTTGTCACTCCTATGGAGAACCTCAACATCTTCATATCTGCTACTTCCAATTCGTTCTCCTGTCTTTTTGTCAGTGCCACTGTCTCCAGAACGTACAACAAAGTTGGTCTCACCACTATAGTAAATATTTACTTTGATCTTTGCTGCCACCCATTTGTGGCAAATCACTCCTGAAACTTTTCTCCATCCACTCCATCCTGCCTGGGCTCTTTTTTTTCCCCACCTCTTTACCGCAATTCCCCATTTTCCTGGACAGTGGACCCCAAGTCCTGCACCTTTGTGACCTCTGCTTCTTGTAGCCTCACTGTTCCATCAGCCTCCCTCTCATTCACACACATGCACTCTGTTTTACTACAGTTGACTTTCATTCCTCTTCTTTCAAGTGCATACTTCCACCTTTCCAAGTTCTCCTCCACCTGTTCCCTGTTCTCACCACAGATCTCAATGTCATCTGCAAACATCATAGCCCACAAGGATTCCTGCCTGACCTTGTCGGTTAGTCGGTCCAGAGCAAACAAGAAGGGGCTCAGAGACGATCCTTGATGCACTCCCACCTCCACCTTGAAGCTATCTGTCACTCCTACAGCACATCTCACCACTGTCCTGCTGTCCTCATACATGTCCTGTACCAGTCTAATATCTCTTGGAAATGAGACTACCTGTCTAAATAAACATAAATGAAATAAATCCAGTTTACTCAGACAGTTTATTTCTGAAGTGTTCAATTTTTTTCATTTGTCCCTAAATGTCATTCATTTCAGTCTTTTTGTTTTATATTTTTAAAGTTACTTTTTGAGTTGTGTGAAAAATGAATACAAACAGTACCGATGTGCTGTGCTCGTAAAACAAATTTAGCTGTATTGTTAGAACTGATCAGATCGGTCACTAACAGCTTGTTCTGCAACACTCCTGCCTCCTCTCTGCAGTTTGTTGTGTTTGACGGCGCAGCTGCACAGTTTCCTGCAGGTTTAATCTGAGATGTGTGTCGCTCTGAGCTGCAGCAGCGTTTAAACACGTTACTGTCTTTGTTTCACGTCTTCATGAACACAGAACTCACTGTTTACAGTCTCCACCAGTCACCACATGCAGAAGATGCCACATAACACACAGAAACACACACCAGCCAGTGTTGGACTTCAGCTCTGTACCAGTATATTTTCTGCCTGAGAACTGCAGAACTAAACGCGCTTGACTGTTTAAAACAGAAAGCCGAGCTCCACAGACTCTCATGTGCAGGAGTGATCACGACAGAGAGCAGTGTCCTGATGGAGATGTCGAATGATTCCTGTTAAATTGAAAACATTTTTGGTAAATTTCACTAAAATCTGTTGACACGAAGCTGCAGGGAGTTCAAACTTTCTGATGATATGTTGTTATTTTCTTCTTCACGGTTTTGTTAAAAGATTTGAGGAAATCAACACAGACAAAAACAAATCACTGCAATGATCAACAGCTCTCGTGAGGCGTTCAGTGACCTTGGAAATGAAAAGTCATTTCTCTCAGAAGTCGCCCACAGGCCGTCTGTCTATTTCTGAACCAGATTTATTCCAAACAATGTTTCTGCTGTTGGCGAGTCGCTGAGTAATCAGTTTAAAATGTTTATTTTCATTCATTTTGACCTGCTAATCCGAGACCTGCTCCTCATTGTGCAAAACTCTTCATCCTCCGAACCAAAACTAAACAGTTCTTAAATCTTTCTCATAATATTCCTAAATTGTTTTAAACTGTTCCTGACCTGTTTAATAGTCCTCCAAATCATTCCTAAATTAATTGTTCCCACATTGTTACCAAATTGTTCTGAAAAGCTCCCACTTCATTCCAGGTTTGTTAACAAATAGTTACCAAGTTCACAAACCACAGAAAAATTGCTGCCAAGTAGTTCCCAATTCAGGCAGCACGGTGGCGCAACTGGTAGAGCTGCTGCCTCTCAGCGAGCAGGTCCCTGGTTCAAACCCCGGTCCAGGGGCCTTTCTGGGTGGAGTTTGCATGTTCTCTCCGTGCATGCGTGGGTTTTCTCCGGGTACTCCGGTTTCCTCCCACAGACCAAAAACATGCATGTTAGGCTGATTGGTAACTCTAAATTGTCCCTAGGTGTGAGTGAGAGAGTGAATGTTTGTTTGTCTCGTTTGTCTCTATGTGGCCCTGTGATGGACTTGCGACCCGTCCAGGGTGTACCCCGCCCCTCGCACAGTGATTGCTGGACATGGGCACCAGCGACCCCCGTGACCCAAAATGGAATAAGCGGGCAAAGAAAATGGATGGATGGATGGATAGTTCCCAATTCAAAACGGTCCATGTTAGGTTTGTAACTAAACTGTCACTAGGTGTGAGCATGAACTCTGTATGTCCCTGTGATGGACTGGAGACCTGTCCATGTGTCCCCCTCCTCTCACACACCAGCTCCTCTTGGCTCTGTAGAGAAAAGCATGTAAAAAAAAAAAATTGATGGAGGGTTCCTAAACTGTTGCTAAATTGGTACCAAATGGTTCCCAACCCCACAGGGACAAATGTTCCCTAGAGAGGTCTTATTTCTCATTTCTTTGTTGTGTTTATTGATATTTTCTTAAAGACGTTCAGGTTCTGTTTGTCTGCTACACATACAGTTTTAAAACCTGAAACTTCTTATTGTTATTTATATTTTATAAAAACACTCTTCACAACATGTTTGTGGAACAAAATCAGAAACTGAGAGAAAAAGCAGCCAAAGTACGAAAATCTTTGAAACTTCAGAAAGTTTGTTGAACCGATGATCTACACCCCTTAAAAGAGTTACAGAAAAGTCTGGATCCCAGGAAAGGAAACGGAAAGAGATGAGGACTCCCTCAGGATATTTAGTTCACATCAGTATTTGTGATTTATTTTCCTGAACATTTTGTCAAATAAAAACATAAATAATACATAACTACCTAATAATAATAATAATAATACACAGTCTGTAGTCCTCTGTAATAATCTGTAGTACCTTCTCATAGTCTATTTTTTTGTAGCACACTTTTGTACCTGTAGTTCCCTGTAGTACTTTGTAGTACTTTGTAATTCCCTACAATAACCTGTAATACTCTGTAGTATTGTTTAGTACTCTGTAGTTATTTGTACTACTCTATAATTCTATAACCTAGAGGGCTCTGTAGTACCCTGTAGTACCCTGTTGGACTATGTAGTTCTCTACAGTTCCCTATAGGACTCTATAGTACCCTGTAGCACTCTGCAGTACCTTGTAGCACTCTGTAGTATACATCAGTAGTAAATAAACAGTGTAATCACGTCCTCACAGTTATTTTACCTTTTTCCTGAGTCGAACCTGCTGCTGAGAGCCTGAAGAAAAATGCCTTGAGTCCATGTTCCTGTGGAGTTCTAGTGGGTCTGGTGGTCCAGCAGAGTCCCGGTGCTGCAGTCAGCCTGAGGCCAGCAGTGATGTGGGTCTGACCCGGCTGCAGAAAACAACAGAACTTTTGTCTTGTTGCTGACTGTTGTACCAGGCTGAACGCTCTGTGTGTGTGTGTGTGTGTGTGTTTGTGTGTCAGCGCCACTTGCTTTATGTGTTTTACATTTAAAAGTTCTTAAAAAGTTCACATTTCATCAGAAATTTCCTTCAGAGCAGATCAGAAACCAGCTCTCTGGTCTTTTATGTCCCGTTCGTCTGTTTGTCATCAATAAACAGACACTGTTTTAAAATATTCACATATTTCCACAGAGTTTGTCCAAAGTTGAAGATTTCCTCTGTTGATCTCACCTGTTCTCATCTCCTGGTTCTGTAGAGTGGTTTGGGTCCAGCAGAGGGCAGTGTCTGAGAGTGTCAGGGTTTCCTCCCAGTAAACCAGTAAAGTGAAGGTGAGTGGTGGGATGTCGGGCCAGAAAGAGAGAAGAGATGGTCAGTGACGTCATGCTTGAACGCTTGGACCGGTGTTGTGTGCAAAAAGGGATCCGTGGCATTCTGTGTGCAGTGCAGGCAAAAAGTTTCTAAATCATTTTAATCATCCGTATACCTGGAAAGACAAATTAAAACTAAGCTAGAAATATTTTTTTTAACCAGTTTGAGATTAACAGGGGAAGGCTCTGATTTATAGTTTTAGAATTTATTTTAATTTGTAAAGAGGATTTCATCTGAAAATGTTCCAAAACTGATCCTTCAAAAAGAAAGGTTTGACCTCCTGTCCCCTGAAGCTAAGCTGGAGGTCAAAGGTCACCGATGACTCTGCGATATAATCACTGGTGAGTTTTTAGTTAATTCGATTACTGAACATTAATGGGACTGAAGGATAACCTAAAAGATCCCAACATGGATCCAAATTCAAATCCGATGTCCAGATTTAAATCCTCTGAAATTGTATTTAAATGTTTTATAAACCACCATGTTCTGTTTTCCTTTTTCTTTTATCTGGTTCTAAAACAAACTGTTCGGCTGCGACTCGTTTCTCCGAATTTTCACCACAGACGAGCAGAGGACAAAGTTCAAATAAACACCCGTTCAAGAGCAGTGCACCGCAGAACATGTACTGAAACGGTCTCTGATCACTGCAGGGGTTCTGGCTGACCTGACAAGAACCAAATCCGGTGGGCCGGTGGGTCGTTGGGTCGCAAAACAAACAAACTAAGTCAAACAGTTGCTTCCTGCAGTTCACAGGTGGATGATCAGCTGATGTTTTAAAATAGCTGACCCCCTGCTGCAGGAACCAGATCAATAAACCGATTAAAAACCCAACAAAGTTTAAAATCTGTTTGCAAACTAAGTCAGAACTTTGGATTATTTCATTGAATTTGTTTCATTTGTGAAATCGAAACGATCAGGATTTATTTTCCCGCCTGTTTGGAAATAGCCGAGATAAATATTATGTCATTTCCTCCCCATCGCTGCCCTCCAGGTGAGCCCATCAACAGCAGAACTACTCCCAGACAGAACCAGGAGGCCATCCAGAACCTCCAAGGAGGCCGGGTTCTCAGAACAGCTGTTTGGTCCATAAACAGTCAGAACCTTCTCTCCTGCAGCTCCACGGTCAATTTCTTCTCCAGCTCTCAGAGCTGCAACATAAAGCTTGATTTAATCACGACTCGTTGAATCAGAAACAATAAAAACTAAAATCATCTTTAAATTGTTGACGCGTTTTAGAACAAATTAAAAAAACAAACAAACTCTTGCAGAATAAATTAACAATTAGAGTCTGCCTCCTTCTCGTTCACACATGGACTCTGTCTTACTACGGCTGACTTTCATTCCTCTTCTTTCAAGTGCATACCTCCACCTCTCCAAGTTCTCTTCCACCTGCTCCCTGTTCTCACCACATATCTCAATATCATCTGCAAACATCATAGTCCACGGGGATTCCTGCCTGACCTCATCTGTTAGTTGGTCCATCACCAGAGCAAACAAGAAGGGTCTCAGTGAGATCCTTGCTGCACTCCCACCTCCACCTTAAAGATATCTGTCACTCCTACAGCACATCTCACCACTGTCCTGCTGTCCTCAATACATGTCCTGTACCAGTCTAACATACTTCTCTGCCACTCCAGCTTTCCTCATGCAATACCATGCAATAGACGGACCACTGTGGGTCAAAGTGAGGAGTGAGAGGGCAATCTGCATGTGAATCTAGAAGAACACCTCAACTTACAACTCAAACGCCACACTCTCCGTTCTTTGAAGAGAAGAGAAAGCTCCTCGGATGAGAAGTTAAGCTTCTTCAGTTACTGACGAAGTCTTCTAGATGGGAGATGAAACATTTCTCAAAGAAACTGGTCCAGATGACATAATTTAACCTTTTTTTGTTGTCTACAGTTACAAAATAATGTCCAGTTGTTTTGTTTTTAAACTTTTTTTGGATTTACCATTACTTAAAATATTCACCAGCATCATCTAATGTACAAAAGGAAGTAAAATAACTATAAAAATAAAATGTACATATATATATATATATATATATATATATATAAAACACCTCCACTCTTTCTTCGGGTCCGTTGTGAAAAATTAATCAAAGCTTAATGTTTAGATTTTTCTTTTATTCTGAAAAATCACAGCACGTCAAATTGTGTGGCTCTTATTTTGATAGTTTTGAGCGGAAGCAGCGTGACTGATTTCTGATTCTTGACTCCGGTGAGTTTTGTTCGGGTCTGAAGTCTGCGAGGATCAGATTCTGCAGGAAGGAGGACCTGCGAGTCCGGAACGAGCAGAGTCTGAAGTGGACCTGAGCCGGGACTCAGAGACCGGTTGTTGGTTCGGGTCTGTCTGAGCGGGTCATCCTCTGAGACCAGGACCAGGAGGAGAATCTCAGTGACAGAACCGAACTTTTCGGGGTTTACTGTAGAACCTGTTCGGGCGGAACCTGAGTGAGGTGAGTGTTTAAAGTCCGAACCGGGTCTCAGAGGTACGAATCTACCTGGTTCTGATCAGTTCCTAAAGTTCGAGTTTTAATTAATTTTGAGGCAGAACCGCAGATCTGGGTCTGCCCGCTGGGGGGCTCGGCATGCAGGTTCTACCTCTGAGGTTCTACAGGTGAGTCTGGATCCGACTCACGGTTCTGATCAGAGTCCAGTCTCACGGAGAGGCGGTTCTGATGTTCCGACTTAGACTCGCGCACCTCCACATGTTGTTTTCTTGTTTCAATTATTCTTGAACAACAGAACCAGAACCATACAGGAGGTTCTGCTGGTTTGTTCTGTTGAACACTAAAATTTAAAACAACTGTACTTGCCTGAAGGTTTGTAGTTCAAATCCTGAATCACCACACTCTGAAAACTGCTGGGTTAAAATCAGTCCACTTTGTACCCCAGAGCTGGGTCAGATTTGGACCGAGCCAACCCTGGATATATTTAACTCAGCAGGTGGAGGTTCTGATCCAACATCAGTGGCGGTCGGTCGGTTGGGGTGACAAACTCATTCACCCCACGAAGCAGTCCCAATAAATAAATGACTCATTTACCGAACTTGCTGCGTCTTGTTTGGTTCGCTCTATTTTTGACAACGTTAATTTAAAATTTTTTAAGGATTCGTTCTGTTTTTTACTTGCTTGCTGTTGTGGGGCGGTACCGTTCAGCGACCCGCGCTCATCAAGCGGATCGGAACACGTCCAGTGATCCAAACAGACAGCTTCAATAGTCTCATTTGAGGCGTCAGATTTTCTGCCCTGTGGACACATTCGGCTGGTTTTAGCTCTTTGATGCAACCGCGAACACGTGAGCTCAAACTCGGGAAGAGCTGCAGCAGAGCCTTCTGTGCTGAGATCAGTGGCGCAGGAATGGGGGGGCCAGGGGGCCATTGGTCCCCCCCACTTTACGGCCCCACCCGTCAGCTGGTCCTAGATATTTACATAGACTACACCCAACGCCGGCACAGGCAAAACCTACAGCATTCAGATCTGGGCCAAATCCATTTACAAGTTGCCAGATCTGCATAACCGTCACTGGAGGGTTTATGCACATGCGCCAGCTCCGGGTCGGGATCATGAGCCTGCCAGATACCTGAAAAAAATGTTTTGGCTCTGATCCAGTCTGGACCAAATCAGCCTAAAAATGAACTAAGAATTATATATTTGTGCCACATCTGGCCCAAATGCAGTATTTATAGCACCTGTGGGCCACCTCTGACTCTGACCTAGGGCCACGCCGGTTACGGGCCATTGGAAAACAAGAGACCCCGGGCCCAAGTCCATTTATGGCTCTGGACCAAATGCTCACCTGTATTTGTCCCAGAGCAGATAACTTTTGCTGTCGGGTACAAATAATTGCACGGAAAGTTTGTCATTTTTGCTCGTCCAAAAGCAGCTGGAGTTTACAACCGCGCTGCGATGGCAGATCGCTTTGGAGAAAATTTAACCAGAGGAGGAGAAGGAGAGAACTTACCTTCTCATCTCCAGACAGTGTGCATGGAACCATTTTCCCCCAATAAACTTCTGCTTTTTAAGACAATGGTAGTTAGTGTAAAAAAAAAAAAAGTGAAATAATCTGCTCTTTAGTTTATGTTTGCCACAAATGGTTAAATGACATAAACTGAGAAGTAAATCTATCTACACCGCTTTGGATCCATTTGGACGGGTCGCAAGTCCATCACAGGGTTTTATTTAAATCAGCGATGATAATTCTAACATAATTTCCTAACTTTTATTTTTTTTTTAAAGTATATTTAAAAGTGAAAAACTTTTATAGATCCAAACAATTTTGAGCACGAGTGTTCGGCAGTCTGCCACCTCTCCAGGCTAGGCAAAAGGAATACTAGTTAAAAGTAGCAAAAGGCTAGTTCAAACTTAAAGGCTTGCTAAAAATAGTCAACGGCTAGCTAAAAGCTAAAGGTAATAAAAGGCTAGCTCAAAAGTGAAAGTAGAAAAATGCTTGTTAAAAAGAGCTAATGTCTGCTAAAAGTAGCAAAAGGCTAGATAAAAACTAGAAGTAGCAAAAGGTTAGCTAAAGGTCAAGTATAGCAAGAGACTAGCTAAAAGTAGTGAAAGGCTAGGTAATAGTTAAATGTAACAAATAAAACTACATGTAACAAGAAATTGTTTAAATTAAGATAAACCTACCTAAAAGCTAAAATTAGGAAAAGGTTGGCTAAATGGTGGACCGTGAACAAATACCCAAACATTTGACCATGGATATTTGGTCAAACCAACACAACCTGTGGCCCAACAGCTTCAACCCCACACTGAGTTATCAGAATAACCCAGCAGTTTTCAGTGTGGGTAAAGTCTGTTTCTGTGTAAAAACAGAGGAGTCGCCTGTTGGATTGTAGATCAATACGCTGGTGTCCTGTAGGTCAGTCTTTACAAAATCTGGAAATCGGTCTAAAACTCCCAATCCAGTTCTGAGTTCTTATATTTTTGTTTCCAATTTTCCAAATTTTACTGAAGTTTTTCAAAGTGGATTGGATCAGCAGTTCTCTAGAGACGGTCTCTCAGAGTTCTTCTTTGGACTTTGGCTGCTTCTTGTCTTATGTTTCAGTCCGGTTCTTTTCGCTGAAGACCGGTCAAACTTTTCAGATTTGGATTCACAAAATGAAGGTCTCCGAGTCCAAAACTGACGGTTGGTTCAAAATGAAAAATGTTTCTAATTGTTTTAGTTTCAGTGGAGGGGTTCTGATCCCAACTTTAGGAACTACTATAGTCGATCAGCTGATGGATCACCTGTTTGGGTCTTTAATGGATCTGTACCATTTAGACTCTGGTCTTTTCCCGTATAAAGTTTTATTAGGAAACTAAAAGCTGCTTTACCTTGAAAAGTTTTAGGGACCAGGACTGAAACTGAGTGAAAAAGCAGCGAAAATCCAAAGAAGAACCATGAAAGACCTTCAGAGGGTCTGGAAAACTGTTGATCAGGCTGGTCCAGACTCCATAAACTTGTAGTTTGGAGGAACCGAGTAGTTTTAGATTCTGGACTTCATCAGGGTCTCCTTGAAGGAGGCAAAGAACTGGACCGTTGGTGTGCTCAGATGCTGGTGATGTTGGTCTCGGCAGGTCATGATCAGTTCAGACTCTGGTCAGTTTGATTTAATCACTGTTCCAGAAGCTGCAGTGTCACTGCAGGGGGTGGGGCAGGGGCATGTGTGTGGGGGTCACATGTGTAAATTCACCATCTCCCCCACAGACCTGAAGCACGTTAACCCCTCCCCCGATAGACCCAAATCCCCTTTGACTCAGCAGGAAACACATATTCTTAGCCCCGCCCCCACCAGTTATCATGTCAGCCAGTTACTGGTCATTACTAATCAACTTTGACTGGATTCTGGTTCCTCTCAGAGCTGAGTCAGTTCTACCAGAATCTGTAAGTTTTGTGTGTTTCTGTCTTTGGCAGGTTGTTGTTTAATTCGTATGACCGGTAAGTGGGAACCAGCAGAAAGTTCCCAGTCCAAACTCGTGGTTCTGGTTCCACACATGCCAGGGAACTTTCTGCAGGATGAGATACCCAGAACACACCAAATGAGCGAATCAAAATGTAACAAAGGGAAATATATTGGTTTTAACAAGCTTAACTTTTAATTAAACTCTCAAGTGTTCTCAACCAATCAGAGCAGGCTGTGTGCAAAGGGGCGTGGCCTAGCAGTAAAGTCTTCATCAATGTAAAGGTACCCTCTCTGATTGGATCTGTTCAGCATCTGAAACATCCTCAGGTGGAAGAAGTTCTTTTCATTAAGGTTCTTTCAGGTTCTTCAGACCTTTTCATTCAGATCAGGTGGTTCTGTTGCATTTCTGATTGTTCTAGGGCCTGACGGGACTCCGCTACGATGTGCCTTTTTTTTAACTTAAAAAAACACTGAAGTACCTGACCAGGCAGTGAGTCTTGGACCAGTCAAAATCACATCTGTCTCGTATCGGCTCCACAAACCTTGAGCTAGACCTTCATTCCATTTGTTCATGGTTCAAGTTCAAGCTTCTTTATTGTCATTCGCATCACTTGTGGTACATGAGGTGGAACGAAATTGTGTACTCAAGGTCCCAGTTACACCCAAGAAAAGCAAAAAAAAAGTATTAAAAAAGAAAGACTGTACAAGAATCAAAGATACACTAAGCAATAATAATGTAAAAAAATATGATGTATTAAACAGCAGCCTGAACATGAGTCTGTGGTGAGCAGATGGGTACGAATACAGCAGCTTAAGATAAGAAATCAGCAGCATGGATAATCAGCAGCACCAAGTGACATATCACCATTTAAAGTGGCATTACAGTGATTATCCTGGTTAAATATTCATGAGTCTAACAGCCTCAGGGTAGAAGCTGTTCCTCAGTCTAGTGGTTCTACACTTAATGCTCCTTAACCTCCTTCCTGAGGGGAGTGGGGCAAAAAGTGTGTGCTGGGTGAGTGGGGTCCTTCATAATACAGGTGACCCTCTTCCAGCCTCTGGAGATGTAGATGTCTGTGATTGTGGGGAGGCTGACTCCTACATCTTGTAGTGAGTCACGTGAGGTACGTGTCACTTGTTGTATGACAAATATATGTGTATATATTTATGCATACTTTTCACGAGTTCTTCATTTTTCTGACTGTAATGTCGTGCATTGAATTTAACAGAAATGTAACGAGAGACGTTGTTTATCTTTGACCCATCAAATGAATGGAATCATTTATTTTCAGAATCAAAGTTTAACATCAAACATTTACATTAATTTGGCAAAATATGAAAATAATAACAGACAGTTTCACAGAAAATGAACTTCAAATCACTCGGCGGTGATTTGAGGACTTTGCTTCAGACATTTCTAAAAATATCTGTACTGATTTATGAGAGAGAAGAGTTTAAGATTAAATTGAGATTTATCTTACAGAGGAAATATGTGAGGGAATTTAATCTGTTTGACCAGAAGTTGCACGCTCCGTCCGATCTCAGCTTCTCACGGTACACTTGGTCAAAATAGAACCATCTACCTGTTGATGATGAATCAGCCTTGGAGTAGTTCCTTTCTGACTCGTTTCAGCGTCTCCGTCGAGAGCTACCAAACCTTCAGAGAGTCGTGCGTGGTTAGCTCAAAACAGAATTATAATCCCCAAAAAACCTCTGGATTCTTCATTGCTCTGAAGCTTTCAGAACCGACTGCACTCTCAATCTTGGAACTCTCACGTTCTCCAGAACTCTCAATCTAACATGAACTGGGGAGTTGCCACATTTTATTTGGGTCGACTTCCTGTTCAATTTAGAGCTTTCTGATTCGTGGAAGGACCAGAAAGAGGAGTGGTTTTGACGTAAGGTGTTTATCAACAGTCGAGGTCAGAGAATGAAACTTGTTTAACATACAGAAAAGATTATTGCAGCAACAGCAGACTTCGTGGAGTCAACTCTTGGTAATCTTCTGAAAAAGTTTAAACATGACATTTTTCTTCAGTAAACATTTAGCTGACCGAAGCCTCAACTTTCACACACTTACGACTTGCTCATTTCAGACAGAAAATCAAGAAAGGCATATTCAGGTGATTTCTTCTCTGAATGAGGAACAAAAATCATTACTTACTGTTTATGTAAAATAAAAATGAGTAGTTCTTTTCAACCTGTAAAGCATTGAGTGAACTAACACAATTTGATTATCAAAACATTTGTAAGACAGTAATGATTATAAAGAATTGTCTTTTCTGCTTGATTAATTCAAGAAAGAAAGTTCATCAGATGGTTCAGACTTATTCAGATCAATGAAAATAACAGTCTCTGTCCATCTGGTAGATTTGAGGTCATCTGGTTCACTACAATCTTCTGTGCAGCCTTCACCACTCTCTGCAAAGCTTTTCTTTCTGCAGCTGTGCAGCCTCCATGCCACACGTTGATGCTGGAGCACAGGATGCTCTCCACTGCACACCTGTAGAAGGAGGTGAGGACTGAGCTTCCCAGTCCAGCTCGTCTCAGCCGTCTGAGGAAGTAGAGTCGCTGAAAGAACTTCTGTTTGGGTTTTTAGTTCTAAGAACCTTTGTTCATATCACCTACTTCTCGCTGATGTTCATAAAGTTTAATATGTTGCCAGTTTTCTGGGTTTTGTTCTAAATTTTACCCATCCTGTGTTCTAAATTGTTCCCTTCATGACAGAAATGCTCCTCCTATGAAGAAAGAACCAAAGAATGTCTCTCAGAAGATGGTTTTGTGTAACAAACTCAGATAGTCACAAAAATCCCTTACTGCTGGTTCTGCTGGGCCATTTTTTAGTTTCCACATCAGATCAGGACTCGAGAGTCCCTGAAGAATCTGTTGTTGTTCAGAGACTCTTCAGTCCACAGAACTCTTAAAGAACCAGAGAACTGTTTGAACCTTATGCAGGAACTAAAGAATGACCCTCAAAAAGACCAGTTTCTCCCATTCAGCAGCTTCAGGAACTTTGAAACGGTTCCAGCGGTCTGAAAGCATCGAGAAAGTGTCTTTAACCCAGACCCAGGAGTTCTGGACCAAACCTGCCCCTCCTGAACGTTCTGCTGCTTGAAACTGTACCTGCTGATCATCAGAGTGTTTCCTCTGCAGGCTGATTGATCAGTCTGACTCGGTCCGATCTGATAAGCGAGCGAGCGCTCAGCAGCTTTGATATCAGCTGACCTTTGACCCTGACACCTTTGTGTGATTAACGCAGAGCGAGCAGCGGCCATCATTGCAGCACGGCGGCGGCTGCAGACATGTCAGTCTTCACTCAGTTGGGTCTGCTGCTATGGAAGAACTTCACCTACAGACGAAGACAGACGGTCAGTTCCTGCTCTGATCACTTCCTGCTCTGATCAGTCACTTCCTGTTTCCTTCATTTCCCGCTCTGTTCACTTCCTGTTCTTATCTCTTTGATCACTTGCTGTTTGCTTAAATTTTTGCCATTGACAATCTCTTTGGTCAGTTTTCTGTCGGATCACTCAGCTCAGGGTGTTCTCTTCCTCCTGTTCTTGGGTTCTGTTGGTTCTTTAAGCTCACAGTTTTCATTCTTTGATTAATCAGCTGTTCTGATCAGTTCTGATCAGAACTCTGTGTGTTTTCAGTTAACTGGTTGGTGATTTATCGTTGATCCAGAGTGTTACGAGTATCTCAGTGTGTTCTGCTCTCTGATTGGACGGTTCTGAATTTGTGCGCCTTGTGTGTTGCAGCTCCAGCTCCTGGTGGAAATCATCTGGCCGCTCTTCATCTTCTTCATCCTCATCACCGTGCGGCTGAACTACCCTCCATATGAGCAACATGAGTGTGAGTTCATGACTTTATGACCCGTGTCCAGAGATGCTAAGAGTTCTGTACCAGGGGATAGATTGATCCGTGATCAGTTGAAGCTCCTTGTCTTGTTTATCTCGGACCTTAATGGCTCGTTATCTGTCAGCTGTAAAGTCATTATCAGAGCTGCTGAAGTCCACCAAGCTGCGTTCAGAGTCCATAAAGTTCTGTTAGTGTTGTGTAACAACATGAGCCCTCGGTTCTTCTGTGCTCCTCAGCCTCCTCCAGCAGGAGGTTCTGCAAAGATCGTCCCAAACCCAAGCCAGTCAGAGAGCAGCAGCTGAGACTGGGGCTGCACTCGGGTTCATCGAGTTTACCGGGCCCAGCTGCATGCAGGACAAGTGTCAGAAAGATTTGAGTTGACCCGGTTGCGTAGGACCCGAGCTGTACTCCTGCTGGAGTTTAATGATGGAGGCGCTCAGCAGGAAACTGATGCCAGAACAGCTGTCCCAGCTTGGTGTTCTGGTTCATAACAGAGACTGTGACCCGGTGGAACCCGGTGACCCAGTGGAACGTGTTGCTGGCGTCCTCAGTGATCTGCAGGATCCAAATCCTGAAACTCAGTGTACTGACACATCACACCGAGGCAACGTCTTTCTCCTCGCTGAGAGGAAATTAATGATTTAATCTCCTGCTGGTTCTGAAGGATGTTTGTTTGTTTGTTGTTTTCATTTCAAACTTCTGATCACTTCCAAAGAAATGACCATTCTCTAATTTTATAATAGTTTAATGGAGATGTCAAATTAACAAAAAACACAGAAAAAAACCCACAAAAGTTATAAACTGGTTCCTGAGAGAAATAAGTAATTAATCTGCTACAACCTAGACAGAATTCTGAATCCTGCAGATCAATTATTTAATCAGTCAATCAATCTCTGAAGCTCCTGATCTCAGCCTGTTATGTGCATAAACCCTTCCTGTTCATAAAATCAGTTTCCTCCACTCCATCCTCTCCACCACCATGGGTCTGACCAAAGATCTGTCAGAGGACCTCAGGGACCAGATAGCAGATCTTCACAAAGCTGGAATGGACTACAGACCATCAGCAGGAAACGTGGTGAGAAGGTGGCAGCTGCTGGAGAAATATAAAATGACCATCTATCACTTTTAGTCTGGCGCTCGGCGTAAGATCTTCCTCGTGGAGTGAGAATGATGATGATGATGATGATGATGAGAAAGGTGAGGGATCAGTCCACAGCTTGATAATGATCTGAAGGCAACTGGGACCACAGTCACCAAGAACACCCTTTGTAAAGGACCAAAGCCTTCCCTGCTGAAGAGGTTCATCTTCAAAAGTCCTCCTGCTGAAAAAGGACCAGGCATGGACCTGTCTGAAATCTAGAGAACATCATGATTCAGAGATAGTCCTGTGGTCAGATGAGACCAAAATCCAGCTGTTTGCCATCAGCTCAAACCTCCATGTTTGAAGGAGAACAAATTTTGAGTATGACCCAAATATTCCTACCCCCTGTGTCAAGCACGGAGGTGGAAAAATTATGGTTTGGGGTTATATTGCTCCTAAGGATTCAGCATGACTTTGCTGCATTGAGGAACCAACAGATGAGGCCTTGTACCATAAAGTCTTGGGCCAGTACCTTCTTCTGTCAGCATGTTCGTGACCCAAAACATACCACTGAGGCCATAAAGGACCAGCTAAAGAAGAAGCAGTCATGGAGTGGTGTAACCAGTACCCAGACCTCAGTCCTGTCAATCTGTGAAGGAGCTGAAGCTTTGAGTTATCAAGCACCCGAAGATTTTCGAGAGTTCTTGTAACGAGAAATGGACCAAAATCCCATGTGCACACCTGGTGACAGCTCCAAGAGACGTCTTACCAACCAAAGTTTCTCCTTAGAGAACCAAGTCCGGTTTTTCTTTGTGATTAAAACAATTTATTCCACTCAATTCCATTTAAATATATAACAAATTATGTTTTAAAAAAATAATTAATAATCAATATTTGCAGGTGATCAAACTTGCAGAAACAGCAGGAATTAAAATAATTGTTTTCCCAACTGTAAGTGTCGACATGAGGTTTTTAGGTGATCGCGGTCGATTTGAAGCCGTCAGAAGATGAAACGGAGTTAATGAAGGTTTAGCCCGAGGCCGCGTTGTTTCCAGGCTGAATGAAGCCGACAGGAAGAGGCTGGATATGGGTCGGTCGGTGACGGAGCTGCTTCCATCACATCAGCAGATCCTCCAGAAGGTAGTGAACTCTGCTGCTGTTGGAGGAATGTTTCTGGGGTGATTCATACAGCGGCGTGTCCGAACCCGCCGGCTGAAGCAGCTCATAGAAAGTTCCAGCAGATCAGCAACAAACCGAAGGGATTACCAAAGCTGAGCCTTTAAGATCCAGGTTTAAACCCCAGCAGGTCGACGTGGAGCACATTCAGATTTAAGTTCTCTTGTCCTGATCCCAGCTGAGTGCCAGAGTGGGTCTCGCATTCGACTCCAGAACCCTTTGGTCTACAGAGGTGTTCATGGTCCACCCTTTGACTGAAAGGAGCCCAAACCATTAGCCCTCCACCACTGTGCTGACAGCTGGTATGAAGTGTTTGTTGCAGTGCATTCTGGGTAAACATCTGTCTTTTAGTCTGGTTTTGTTCCAGATATCTTGTTCTTTCAGATAAATCTTTCCAAACCTGAGCCATGCTGCCTTGTTTTGAGAGAGAACAGGCTTTCTAATGTGTCCCTTCCAAACAAAACATGACCTTTGACCTGCTAATTGAGGCCTGGAAATTCTGAGATGGGGCCTATTTCTCCGAGCACTGCATGGTCTGACCTTTGGGGCAAATTTGCTGAGAAGATTGTCACTTAAATATTGAATAATCTCGTGAATAATCTTTCTCTCTGTACAAGGTAGTTTAAAAATAGTAGAACGGTAGTTTTTAAAATACCTTTGACCTTTCCCAGATTGATGGGCAGTGTCTTTTCTGAGGTCATTGCTGATGTCTTTTCATCTTGGTGTTTTGTGTTAACCAAACCTCTATGTCCCCGAGCAGCAAACTGAAGAAAGAGGACTCTATTTTTTATTTTTATTTTTTTAACAAAACTGTAAATCAGAAGATTAATCAGCAGAAAACTTTCACATGAAGTGAAAGAGAAATCTCGAGCAGGAAATTGATTTCCTGGTTTTATAAATGACTCCAGTCAATTGTTTTTGCTGATTATTGATGGAGGCGTTTGAGCGTTCACTGTGTTTTGATGTGGTCGGTTCTTCACGTGACCTCTGAGCCCCAAAGAGAACCTGCAGCTCTGCTTCTTATCTAATCGCCTGTGACTAGAAACGGGCCTGTTGGCAGTCTTAAAGGTTCCTGATAGCAGCTTCTTGGCTCAGCTCGAGCTGCAGGGTTAAAGGTTGTACCTGAGCGGCTACTGCAGCCGATGTTCCTCTGCAGGTGATAACGAGCCGATCACAGGTCGAGGAGTCCAGGTGAGGATGTTCGGTTCCAACACATCAGCGAGATAAAGATGACACGTCTCAAACATCTGCCAGATTAAAACTGAGATTAAGGCTCGCCACAGAAATGCATGCTCTGGACAAACTGGACCCCAGCCCACTTCACGTGTGGTGACAACATGTTAAACAAACTGCCATTTAAAGACAGTTTTTTAACCTGTTCTCAGTTTTAATCAGATTATTTATTCAACTTTCAGATGAAGAACCCTTATTAATGCGTCCTGATGCACGCTCAATAATCCAATGATATAAATCTAACATGGTTGAGTCCTTGTCCTCTGGACGGATTCTTCTTTGTTGAAACTTTTCGTCTTTTTATCCAAAAGACTTCATCAGCCTGAGGAGCTCCTCATTCTGAAGAAGTCTGAAGTTCAAGCGTTCTAATGGAGCTCCAACATCTGTCAACTTTCTTCTCTAAAGCCCAACAAGAGATTGCAACTTCCTTGGTAATAATCTAAGATGGGACAGAGCTGGACTCTTACTTTGAAGAGTGTCTTCTTTCGGCTGCTCCTTTCCTCAATGGTCACCACGATTGTTTTTATGCCGGATGTCCTTCCTGGCACAACCACAGACCACTGAGCTACCACAGCCCTCTGTGTGGAGCGGAGGGCTGCCATCTAGGGTGCCCGGGGGAGCAGATGGTGGGTGTTAGGGGCCTTGCTCAAGGGCCCAGAGTGGGGTAAATATGGGTGGAGGCAGGTGTGGGTGCTTCACCTTTCCTATCCATGTTTTGATGTTGTTGGTCCAAGGAGGATTGATCCAGTGACCTTATGATCACAGGCTCACCTTTTCTAACCTCTGCGCCACCACTCTCCATTTTGAAGAGCATCTATGAGCTTTATTTTGAAACTTCAGGTTCAAACCTCCTCCTGTTTCCTGCTGACCCTCTGATTGAATCCTCCTGCACATCAAAAGTCCGGTTAGAGACGACATGAAGTATGAAGACACACCGGGTGGAAGCAGAAAGAAAGACCCACATTTTAATGGAGAAACTGTTAAAAAAGGAACATTTTTGGAAATAAGAAGATTGTAAAAAATTAAAATTTTAGATATCTCAAACGTTAGAGTGACATCATCAGACTCAGAATTAAATATTGTGTTACATGAAAAGTGTTTAAAGATGTGAAAACGACCCTAAGGTGTAAATGAACATTTGAAAAAACGGAATTACATTTGAAAAAAACAGAATCACATTATAAAAACCGAATTACATTAAGCCGAAGCGGAAGTGGCCCGAATCACATTAGAAAAAACGGAATTACATTTGAAAAAACGGAATTACATTTGAAAAAACTGAATTACATTAAGCCAAACAGGAAGGTTTTTTTTTTTTTTTTTTTTACTGTATTAACAGCATAAAACCAAACAACAGAACAATATACAGTACACACACAATGGAGATATGTGTGTACTGTATATTCTAAAAAAGTTGTCTGGTCCTCTGGATGTTCAAAAAACAACAACAAAAAATAAATAAAATCACAGAAACGTTTCGTCTCTCATCCGAAAGGCTTCTTGAGTCTGACGAGCTGTATTCAGGTCAGTCTTATCAATAGCACCTTCTCCTAGCAGGTCAACCAGTTTGAATCAGAAGTTTCACCTGCTGCTCATCAAGATCAGGGACGACATTTCCCATGAGCCTCAGCTGCAGAAGTGCGCTCAGCCGGTTCTGTTCTCCTGTCTGCAGGTCATTTTCCTAACAAGGCGATGCCGTCAGCCGGAACGCTGCCCTGGGTTCAGGGAATCCTCTGCAACGCCCACAACCCCTGCTTCAAGAACACCACACCGGGCGAGTCTCCGGGCATCGTCGGGAACTTCAACGACTCCATGTGCGTCCGGGTCCAGCCACGTTTTCTGCTCTGAATCCGCTTCAATCTGGTTTTTTTTTTTGGTGTTCTCTGGTGTTTTATTCGTCTTTAAGCTAAAAGAAGCATGATCAAGTTGTGTCTTTGTGGCTTAGTGTCTAAAAATCCAGTTCTAGATTTGGTACTGTTGTCTGTTTTGTGTTGAATGGACCCACTATGGATTTGGTTCTCCTTCTGGACTCTAAACGTCAATCTTTGTGTGTCTGGTTTTCAGAATTTCTCGCCTGTTTTCGGACGTGAAGAAGATCCTCTTGTACAGTCAGAATGATAAGAACCTGGAGGGTTTCAAGGAGCTGGCCCGGGCCCTGGAGATTTTGCAGAACAGCCGCTCAGGTAGGACATCAGCGTGAGCTTTTAGAACCGGGTCGAGCCCACGTTTGAAAGAGCTGTGGCGAGTCTCTGCAGAAACTTTTCAGCCTCATTAAACAAAAAGAATTTGGTTCTTTATGTTTCTGACCTGGTGTGGGGGCGAGTTTGTTTTCTCCACCTGCACCGACCTGCCGGCTGCCCACCCCCTTACCGATGGATCATCAGAACCTTTATTCTTTAACCAAAGATACCTAGGTGTGTGGTCCAGCATTGATGAACATTCATCAGAGTGAAATTAGAGGTTTAGGTTCTGTTCTGGTGTTTTTGTAGTGACACGTTTTGGTTCTAGTCATCTGTGACTGGGTCAGGAGGGGCGGGGCAAGAGTGGATTCTGAGTGGCCAGACTCTTGGCGCTGCCGCAGCGGGTGGCGGTCAACGTGTGGTCCATGTCGTTATCCTGCTGAGCGTCACAGAGTTCAAACAGCTGAGTCTATGTCAAAACTGATCCTGGATCAGTTCATACGGAGCCAGAACTGTTCCTCTATTCAGGTTCTTATGATTTGAGTCCACGTGAGTCTCACCATGATGGAGACGTGTAACCAGATAACTCTACATTTTTTAGGACAGCAGGTAGAACCAGCGAGAGTCAGATTGGACCGGTCAGAGACTAGTAGGACCAGTAAAAGGTAGGTAGGACCGATCAGATGATGTTAGGACTAATCAAAATAAGTTAGGACTGATCACAGGCATGTATAACAGGTCAGAGACTAGTTGTACCAGTTAAAGATAAATAAGACCGATCAAGGCTAGTTGGACTGTTCAGAGTCAAGTAGGCCTGTCAATGGCAGGTTGAACTGATCAGAGCCAAGTAGGACTGGTCAGAGGCAGTTAGAACCTGTCAGAAGCAAGTAGGACTGGTCAGAAGCAAGTAGGACCGGTCAGAGGCAGGTAGGACTGGTCAGAGGCAGGTAGGACTGGTCAGAGGCAGGTAGGACTGGTCAGAGGCAGTTAGAACCTGTCAGAAGCAAGTAGGACCTGCCAGAAGCAAGTAGGACTGGTCAG